CCATTCTCATTGACCCTTCAAGTCAAAGCCAATCTTTCGGCTGATCCATCTAAACGCCTATCGGATTCTGTGCTTCTCGACCAAATTGTTACATTGATCTTCGCGGGCAATGATACGACCTCCCTTTTCATTACATGGTGCATCCACCTGCTATCTCTGCATCCCGCTATCCAGATTCGTCTTCGCGAGGAGCTTCTCTCGTTGCGTGCCAACTCTTCATCTCACTCCGACTTGCCAAAAGCATCCTCTTCTACGCCGGCGGGACTTTACGCTCACGCAGATGCCATCGAAGCTTTGCCATTCTTGGACAGTGTGATTCGCGAGACTTTGCGAATTTGTTCACCGGTGCATAGTACGATACGCACTGCTATGCAAAATGACATCATCCCGATTTCTTCTTCAACCATTCGGCGTGACGGCACGGAAATCAAACCTCCCGATGGGATACCCATCCGGAAAGGCACTTTTGTACACATTCCCCTTCAGGGACTGAACATGAGCGAAGATATTTGGGGTAAAGACGCGAGAGAGTTCAAGTACGTTGTCCTTATCATTGAACTTCCTATTTGTAATGGCTGACGCCTCAACCAGACCCGACCGTTGGTCGAATTTGCCCGAGAGCGCCCGTGCACCATTACACCCGGGCATAGCAAACGTCATGTCGTTCTCGCTTGGCCCGCATTCCTGTCCAGGCTGGAGGCTTTCCACCCTCGAAACCAAATTATTCATCTCAGTAATTCTGCCACACTTCATCTTTACCCCCGCAGAGGAAATTGGTTCGTACGTTTCCATAGTGATGCGTCCGTACGTACGCACCCAACTCGCAAAAGGATCAAGATTGCCAATAATGGTCCAGCGGTATTTTGCGGAATAATCCTTATGTCCTTGTCATTTGTATAATTAGGACACGCATGTTCCATTGACGGACCGGCTTCTACATTATTTATGCTTGATATTTAATGTGTTTTGATCATACCTATTCGTTTTCTTTGTAACACTCTGGCATGTATCGATAACCGAGACGTTCAACTGAACAAACTGTCTCCAATATATGTACCATTTTGATTATTCAAATAGATAGTAAGCGCAATGTGTACAGACTAATGTGTATAAGCACCCAAGAGAAAGCAAAGACAAACTTGGTACATAAGAAGTATAATATGTGATATGCGGTAGATGAGATGGTTATATTGAGTTCACAGATGCCCGGCAGAAATTTTGACGCCACTCAGACTCATCGTCAGAATTTCTAAGTCAGAGTCTGAATCGGACGGGTCGACAGAATACACTTTCTGTCCCAGTCCGGGTGTTCGGTGGGAGATGACGGTCTCTTCGCCATAGCCCAAAAGTGGAGGAGCGATCGAGCACGGCGACCCTAAGAATATATTACTAACCGCGAGTAGCACATATAAATAAAGGACATACCTTGAGTTTTCTCTTGCGCCATGCGACTGCCAGCCTTTGTCTTCGGAGTCTTTGGAGCCGGCTGAGCAAAGAGCGGAACAAGTTTTCCAACTTTACATGCTCCGCATACTGTGATTGTATCTTATAGTAGCATGCCCAGCCATACACAAGCAGAAAACATACCACATTCATCGGGTCGAATTGATTTGCTGAACCGACCATATCTGTGATAGCGGCGAGTCAATATATGAGCGCAGAAAGCCCTTAAAGTGCCTACACTTTGGCACACCGTTCACATTCTATAAATTAACAAGTCAGGACAGTGCAAGGCGGTGACGGTTAGGCACGGAACTGACCCCATTCGTACGGATACGAAATCTCGTAATTGTGTTTGGTCTAATCTCATTCGGTCAGTCCGCTACTCGTCGACAAGTTGAGAGACACCCACAGTAACCTCGATATCCGTCCTCTTGCGTTCGACTTTGGCGGCCCTATTAATCTTCTTTAACTGGACATCAAGATAGATTGTCAGACACACCTACCATCCTTTCCAGACCTTACCGTGACCTTCTTTAGGGTCCCCGTTGATGATCCAGCACGCTAGGTGACACATTTCATGCGAAAGCGTGTTTCGGATCCGTTCTATATATAAGTCAAGGAGCAGCGTTAGCACCAAGTAAAAGTTACAAGGTGCTGTAATTACCATCACTGTCTAAAATTTTTGTCGCGAGCTCGATCTCTGTAGTATGGACACCATCCCTGGAACTTAGTTATACAGAGTTAGCGATGGTTTTATAGTCTGGATGGGCTCCAACAAACCGATGCCATTTGGCTCGTCCTGCCGTAGTCAGCAGCCGCTTGTTCCAATTCATCTTCGTCTCTTTCGGTAGTCCATCCTCGAACACCGCTCGATTTAGTTCCTCAAACAGATCTGCAGCATATTTTTCTCGCCGCGCTTGTTCGGCTGCTGCATGCGCCTTTTTTGTGACACGCGGTGCTTTTCGAGGCAAAGATGAGGTAGAAGGGGTGCCTCCAGCGGTTCGACGCGTTCGAGATGAAGGCGTGACCGTGGGCGGAAGGACAACGAAATCATCATCTGAAACTAAGTCCACAAAATCTGCGCCTAGACTTTTACTGTGAGTGATGGGGATACTACGGTGTTTGAGAGCTGTCGTCTTCGCGTTCGGGAATGAGGGTGAGCGCCGAATCGGCTTATGTGCAGTGCCAGGGTCATTACTAGCAGATTGAAACAATTTAGTTGAGTCGCTTTACACGTAGAGGGCGGCTTACAGAGTTAGGATAGACCCATCGTCTGCATTACAAAGTCCGTCGTCGTCATCGTCATCGGCGTATAGCGACACTACGTGCTCAGGGGCGCTACGACTTGGTTTTTTTAGTGCAGGCCGGGGCGGCATGACCTGCTTGCCCTTGATATCCTTCGAAGGCGGTTTTTCAGGTGAACCGTCGATCAATTCTATGACGTCCGGCTGTTGGTGGGTGTGAGACGAGTCACTGTCTAAACCCCCCGAGCTTGAGCTTTGGACAATGCGACGGGAACGAGGTGTTTGAACCTTTCGGAATGAGTTCTTCGTTTGACCGGGGACCTTCGGTTTGGGTGGTCTTTTGGCTCTGAGAAACATACAAATGTAGCCTTCTAATGTTGAAATACACAAGAAGGCCAAACCTATCAGACGAATCCTGCTTTGCCCCGTTATTAGCTGGCCAGCTCCCGGGTATACTTTCCAGGAATGGGTCATTCTCAAAATCCGATTTACGACCTTGTTCACTATTTTTCTTCAATGAGTTAGAAATGCGATTAAGATACAAAACACACACATGTCTTCATCCGAAGAAAATATCTCTATGACTTCAACCTGAGGCTGCGCATTTATGATGTCAAGGCCCTCGATTTCCCTAGGCACATGAACATTGTTGTCGATTAGTACTTTTAATCATAGTAGGTTTGATCAACGTACATAAGACGTTCCTCCTCGCTATCCGGAACAACTTCGTCGCCTCTATTTCCCTTCACTTGCTCGGTATTCTCTCCATTCTGAATCCATTTGCATGTCTGTGAAGTTGTTGGGGAATTTAGTAGAGAGGGTGCAAATCTGAGTGGTAGAGACACGTTAGCAGCTCGAGCCGCAGCCCCGACCATCATAAAAACAGACTTGGGACCGATTCTCAGAGCGGCGATGTTGACAGGACGCGTCGGGTCACGGGGGACCCCGGAAGTCGTTACGTGATTCCCAAATTCGGAAGAACGGTTGAAATACATTCCATCCCTATATATTATTTACATAAACGCTGGGTCTCATGTATCCTTTAAAGCACGGGGTGCGTGTGGGTCAATCACAAAGACTCCAACGGAGATTCAAGTTCGAAGGATGGGACATCATAGGTGTTGCGGCGCACTGGTCTGGCAAAACAGCTGCATTCGTACTACTCAGCGGTGTTACTCCGGATTCTGCAATTACTATGGGAGGAGTCGCAGGGTCTATTCGCATGCGTCCCTGTACCGACTCGGGACTGACGTATCTTATAACTCTGAACTCTTTCATAGGTTTTACTAGATGTGCTGTTGTCATTGACGGAGCGCAGAACAAGGTAAAACAGGTTGCCCTAGCGAAGAAACCACACGTCATTGTAGCAACGCCAGGACGGCTCAACAACCATCTTGAAACTACTGAAGGATTCAGTTTGCGAATTGTCAAGTTTTTGGTATCTATGTAGTATGCTCTGTCTCTGCTTCTTGGAATAACTTTTTTTGTGAATTGGATTTGGCAGGTTTTTGACGAAGCCGATCAGCTGCTGACTCTCAACTTTCAACCGGATATTGCAACGTCCTGAAAGTCGTTCCCAACGAGCGAACTACTTATCTCTCTATTCCGCGACAACGATCGGTTTCTGCTCTTCTACAATACTACCTTTTGACACCCATGGTAAACAAGGACGCACATCTCGTGTATTTGGCCATCTCGCTCGCCCAAAATTCCATCATTATATTTACCCGAATAGTTCACGACGCACGGCGGTCAGTCTTCTGACGAGCCATTGGTAATCATTTCTCATCATATACGTGTTGCAACGGGCACCTTCAATTCAAACAAAATTCGAATTTAGTTGGATATATAGAATTTGTCCTATGGTTCAATCCACATAAGTAACGCCTGATTGTCAATTGACAGTCATATACATGCTTTATATCAAGATGTGTCAGAGTTTGGAATCTGAAACGGTGATCAGACCCTCGCGAGCGACGTATTAAGCACATCGGCGGTAGTTAACTTGTGTCTATACTATCGTTTTACGCAGGCGGCACTTTGCAAGGCGTTACATATGTAACTATTCTTCACGAGAGTCCATCGCAGTACTTAGGCCTTCACGCCGACGGGCCCGAGAACGGTTTGAAGCTGATCAGAGGGATGGCGCCGGCTATCAGTTCTGTTGTCACACTGGGACTTCCTTGCTATCAAGTTTCCATGGGTTTACACTCGTTCGAACGGCATTGACTCTGCTCAATTTGAATTAACCTTCCTTAATTTTCTTTTTTTTGAAATATCATCAGCTACGAGTTAACGAGTCAAAATATAATTAGCCCACCGCGAGGGTCGAACTCGCAGCCTTCAGATACCCAGTAAATTGGTTAACCCGCCTAAATAAGAGTCTGACGCTCTATCCGATTGAGCTAGGCGGGCATTTGGGCAAATTCTGTGTGTATGAACATGTCACCGCCACCGTGTCTTGATCAGGAAGGAACTGTATAGTCAATCGCATTAATCTTCCCACGCTCCAAATCTTGTCTTGTCGTGAGAGCCTATAAGAGACCACGATCATCTAACCACAAGCAACATCTTGTCAAGGTGAAAGCACCGATTTCTAGTCACATTGTTCATCCTGTTCTGATTCCTTTATGTCCTCACAGTAATTCCAAGACTATCCAAATATGACGCACGACGCTGTTTGGTTCTCTCGTCCCAGAAAATATGGCAAGGGCAGTCGTCAGTGGTAAGTGGTTGTCCTGTTATGTGTCTGGCGTGATTATGTGCGAATACTGTTAACCATTTACTCTATTTACTCTAGCCGACTCTGTGCCCATCAGGCCGGTCTCATACGCAAGTACGGACTTGACCTTTGCCGACAATGTTTCCGTGAAAAGTCTGCTGCCATCGGTTTTGTCAAGGTGTGTTATGTTATATTCAATAATTTATGAGTGAGGTACTAATTTTTGGTACAGAACCGATGAAAACCATTCAGACTGCTCGCTCCACACTTTACACGGCCCGCCAGGCCTTACTTTCTGCTCGAAATACAATAGCTCTCTAGCATTTTGACTGTACGCGTCTATGATATGCTCAACATGATTGTCTTTGGAGCTGCCAACGTCGGATATTGTACATCTAGAACCTGAGAGTGCGAGGCATGGAATGACATGAATTATCCCCAAACGTAGGAGGCTCACAAGGTCTAACTATTTAGGGATTGAGATGAATAACTACAGAATGACAGACAAATAGTGCTGCGATGAGATACTATCAGACAGACAACCGAGTTACGAACAAATGGCTTGAGAAGTAATAATCTGTACAGATGTGGCAAATAAGAACCGTCGGGAAAGCAAAAAAGCGATGGGTGTGAAGATTGGGGGATGCAGAGTTGCGAAATACAAATGCGCGGTGGTATGGTATGATAAAAGTTGTCGGGTTAAGTCCAAAGTATAGAGATGGTATGACGGCGTGAAAGCCAGGAGCTGAATTGGTGATATAAGTGACGTCGAGTGACTGGTGTAAGATAAGTATGGAGGGCGTATATGACATATGAGATATGATATAGACGAAGGGGAACAAGACACAAGAAAATGACGGCATTGTGGACGACTATGGCATTAGGGAGCCAAGCGTGTGCGATTGATTACATACCATATCCAAAGTTGGGCCTCTGATAGGGATCATTCAATGATCCTGCGTTAATTCCAACGCCGCCAAACGGGTTAACGTTGTTGTATCCAGAGACTCCATGAAATCCGTTACCATGTGAATGTGAGGGGGAGATGCCCTGGTTGTGGCTAGAATTGCCTTGCAGAACATAACCGTCAATAGATTGCGGTTGCATGTTGTGCAACTGGGGTGCCATATGATGAGGCTGCCCATACGAGGCTTGGCCGGGCAGCCCAGGGCCGCCAGCAGCGTACAGACCGCTCTGGGCGCCGTAGACGTCAGCCATAGGGCTGTTTTGAAGGGTCGCAGGAATGTGACGAGCACCTGCGCTGGGAGCGCCGTGATGAAGACCCATGCCTTGGTTGCCGATAGCCATGTTAACAGTCTGCTGGTTATTGTAGCCTCCACCGCCGCCGCCACCGCCGCCAGCGCCACCGCTACTACCGAAGTGGTCCATCTGTTCACGCTGCAATTTGTTTTGGATACGTTTACCGTAAGGAGTGTTCCTAATGAGAGGAAGAACGGGACGAATGCCTTCGACAAGCAGAGCACGCTGATTAGGCTCAGCATAATCTAAAGCGGTCTGTAAAGCTGTTAGTATTGATAAGCATGGATGACACCAGAGCCAGTGACCGACCTGGACGCAATAGTTTCCGTAAGAATCGCGCAGCAACTTCTCCAGACGAGTACGGTTCAGAAGTTCTTCGATGAGAATCTTGCGTGTGCTATGCTCCGCAACGCGAACGCACTTCGAGAAAGATTAATTAGAGTCAAACAGTATAGCGTAATGCGCACCTTCTCGATAACATTAGAGCTAAACTTCTGCACAGAAAGTGCACAGACGTTCCCGGTAAATTGACGAATGACGGCATCGCTAAAGCGGTTGTCGTTCAAGTCAAGAATATATTGAACAACCTAGAGAAGCAGTGAGAATGAGCGCATCCAGAAGGATGATGACATACATAGTTGCCGTATGGATCCTGGACGAGGGTCAACGCATTGTAGGTGATCTCATTGACAAGCTGGACGCGTTGATGGTCCGACGCATGGTCGATGCACCGTTGCAGAACACAACATCCATGGCGATGAGTCGCCACCTCGACACAGTTGGCTGCCACAGCGTTGTAAATGAACTTCCGAAAAATGGCATTTGAGTGAAGATTATGGAACATAAAATAAAATATTGCCCGACCTGATTATCTTCCGGAGCTAGTTTATTGAGGCACTTCTGGATAACATGGTTGCCGTTCAGGTCTTTGATAAGCACCACAACATGAAGGCTGAGCGCAACGATGATAGAATGGATCTGAGCATTGTATCTAAGATCAGCCTGAATCCGCCCCCCGTAAGTGTGGAAGGTTAAGTAAAAATGAGACTGAACTTGCCTGTCTCCGGGTTGACAGGAAATCGATCATCTTCTGGACGGCCCGGGTGCCGTGCATGTTGAGAGAGATGTTGACAAGATCCTGGGCAACCGATTCGCAAATGACGTTGCGTTGTTCATCTGTGGAATACTCCAGCAGCTTCTGACACAAGTAGTTACCGAAAGGATCTGGTGATGCGATGTCAGCTGGAAGAGCAAATATTAATATTTCATTAATCACCGGTCATGAGATCTGCGAAGTGGCCGAAGGTCTCGTGGAATATCATATCTCGATGCTCGGGTGCACCCTCTTCAAGTTTTTTTTGCAGATATCTGCAGCCGTGCTGATCTTTGCACAGAGCAGGTATTTCTCCTTGCAAATCCTCCAAACGGGTACCTGCAAAGCGGTTGACTAGTATGCCATGTCAGTTAAAGTTACAAAGTACGGAAACGAGAGATGAAGATATTCACATTCACGATCCATATCCCCGCGTTTATGCTTAGGGCCATGCAAACCGTTCATCTTGCTGTCCGCACCATTGGCACGTGCACCGACACCAAGACCATAACGAGAGCCGTTGTGATGATACAAAGCTGTTGATCCACTACTGTTGGAATTGGTATTACTACGATTATTCGATTCGAAGCCATACGAGCTATCGACCCCATCGTTCAAGTTGTAGATAGAGTCGCCATATTGCTGTTAATGTAGAAGAATCAACAACGATATGGCAAATAATATATGCAACAAACTCACTTGCGCGGAATCATCTTGTCCAGCCTGGGCAGAGTTGAACGATAATGAGCCATTTTCGTACTGACCAGGGGGGAGACGAGACAACGATGCTTGCAAATCGCCAGCATTAACGGGACTCTCGTGGACCTGGAGGGGAGCTTGTGAGTTGATTCGACTAAAGCCCTGTGTATCGGGAGTGTGAGGCGTTCCAGGCGGCTTGAGGTGGGTCGTTGCGCCATTGATGCCGGTAAGAGGCGTAGCGGGAACTGAACGAGTGGCAACGGACAAACTGTCCAATGCGCCAGAGGGCGATCCGCGGCGCGACAATGGGGTTTGCGAACTGCCTGGATGTGGTAACCCCTGGGGATATTGCGTGGTGTGGGGTGTGGCAGAGGCAGATACAGTCCCGCTGAGTTTGTTAACGGTTGAAAGCTCATCCAGAGTGGATGAAAGAGTCAAAGTGGGGGTCGTGACCGTTCGCCTTTCCGTACGAAAAGTAGCACCTTCTGGAACACGAGGGTTAGCACGGAACTGAGGCCATTCCGAGGATTTTTCCCTCGAGTCCAGGGTACGGCCAGAGAATGAACTCCGGGGAGACGTCTGAGATAAATGTGCCAGATCTAGCGCAGCGGACGAAGCAGACATCTGCCGTAAGATCTGAGTATTTGCGATCACCAACTTACTTTTATGATCCTACCTTGTTTGCGAAGGATCCATGGAACTTGTCGTCATCCGATGTAGGGAGATTCCTCATAGCATCTAGGAAATCCAAAGTGAGAACAAAGGTATAACACACCAGACATGTACGTACTATGCATCTCCTGGTCGAGCTGTTCGTCAAGCATCATCCCGGCATTGTAAGTGTTGCCAAAATGACGAGCTTCGTCATTGCCATACCGTCCACTACCCTTGGTCAAGATCGAGTGAGGCGGGTTACTGGGGACGGGAGAAACTCTATTCGATCTATCGCCAGCAAGAGAAAGCCCTTGCAAGTGGCCAGCAAGTTCTTCGTCATGCTCGCTAGCAGAAGTACGCCGACTGGCAGGCATGCTCTTGGCACCAGCAGTACGGCTGAAACCATTTGAAGCACCGCCAGATGCCAATTCAGGAGAGTGGTTGACAGAGGGCGCGTACGTCACGGATTTCCTCTTGTCGGCAACGGCGGAACCGAATGCTTTCGACAATATATCGGCGTCCATGGGAGCCTGATATGCGCTGAATCTGACTCCAGTAGGATGATCTTCGTTCAGCACAGTGTTTACTCGCGGAGGAGTCGTAGGGGCTGAGGCGGCCAGGTGCTGAAGGGTGTTTCCGTTAGGTGCATTGGGGTCGTGCGGGATGTTGAGAAGTTCCTGGGCCTGCTGTTGCTCGAGTGCACGCATTTGATCCTCGAACATTTTGCGCTGAAGAAGACGTTGCCGCTCGTGCTCAAGTCGCTTGAGCTCCACGCGCTGTGATATCATGAAATGACGTGTAAGTTGGGATTACCAAACTGAATGTAGGAAACGCACGGCAGATATGTCCGACATATTAGTTCCCAACCTCGCTGCCTACGATAATCGCACTCAGTTAGACGTCGCTCTACTTTAGCCAAAGGCAAAACTCACCGAATCTGCGAGGTCCAGAAAAGCAGGGGGGCTCTGCTTACGCCCGTCCGAGGAC